CGACGTCATCGGGTGCTGATAGGCGGTGGCCTTGGTCTGCCCTCTGTTAATGGCGTGTCCTGATTGCAGAGCTTCGGAAGGGCAGCAAGCGCCTGACCTGCCACAAGCGGTACAAGATCCAGAGGAAGGTGGGTCACCGAGCCGGAGCGGTCGGATTCAAGGGACCAGTTTCTGCCCCAAGCACAGCATAGGCAGGCAGGAGGGGGAAGGCGAGCAGGAAAGCTCAGGCCAGGTCTTTGCTGCCCGGCTTCCTGAGGGCTTTGGGCTGCAAAGTGCTACGTGGAGCCTCATTGTGTTCAGCTACATCAAAGTCCTGAACAGACTTGTTGCATTTGCAGGGGAGGGCTGTACACTGTTCAGCACTCACCTACACGTTCCCCAGCTGGGGCCCCGTAGTGCAGCTCCTAGTTCTTTCACACTGCACATGTTCATGGTTCCACTGTTTGTCTAGGGCAGTGGGGCTCAGTAGTGCTGTCCAAAATTTAGACTGGTGTTTTATTTTGAAGCTGTTTCGACGCCTTTTGAGCTTGGAACAGTGAAATCGAAATGAAACAACAGGCTTTGAAATGAAATGAGGGCACCCAAAATGTTTCGAGTTTCAAAGCAGCCCAGTGGCGGGAGGTGGGGGAGAGCTAGGGCTGTACTCCGAGCAGCTCCGCAAGCCCCACGAAGCTCAGCCCAGCAGCAGGAGAGCCAGTGGTGGAGCTGCTCTGAGCGCAGCCTTTGTTCTGAGCGCAGCCCTGGCCAGTGGCTCTCCCCTGCTTCCCACTGCTAGGCTCAACTCCGTGGGGCTGCAGAGCCTCTTGCTGCCAGGCTGCGCTCAGAGCGGCTCTGCCACTGGATCTCCCTGCCTCCTGCTGCCGGGCTGCACTTTGAGTGGCTCCACCAGCTCCATGGAGCTCAACCTGCTCTCTCAGCACTGCCGGACTCCTTCCAGGGGTGTGGACCCCCAGATCTGAGGTATTTCTAATGTGCTGTGTTATCAAGAGCTCTAACATAGGGCTGTCTTCTAAGTAGCAGAGGGTTTCATACCTTGCACCAGCACAAGCGATAGGCTGCATGCTGTGGGGGGGAAATGCTGGCATGGCTTTTTTTTGGCTGATAAAGTCACTGATAAATTCTGTGTTTATGGCATGCATGGGGCTAGGAATACAGCCCAGCAGCTTAGAGAGCAGCCTCCTGCTGGTAAGCCTGGGAGGGGAAGGAAATTGAGGCTCCCAGGGTGAGGGAGGGATGGGGCAGGTGCTGCCCATCCAGGGTGGTGAATGCAACCCTGGGGCATGGGGTGGAGCCATGCACTGCCATTCCAGAGGGCGGGGGGGATGGCTTCCTGCCGCTGTGCTCACCCTTGGGAAAGGCATGGGGGCATGTGCTGCCCCAGATTTGTATGCAGGGCGAGGGCAGGCTGCCCACTGCAGGCTTGGAGCCAGAGCTGCGCTGGGGCGGGGTGGGCTCAGCTATGGGGGTACAGGTAGCAGCACTGAGGGTGGGCTTTGGGGACTACAGCCATCCCCAAATTCCCCATAGCCACCCTTCCCAGCACTGCTGCTGCCCGCCCTGCACAGCTGAGCCCACCCCACCCCCGCCTACCCCAAGTGGAGCCCTGGCCCAGCCTCCACCTTGGGGAAGAGGCTGGTGCAGATGCTGACCCCTAGCGCACAGCGGGCAGCCCATTTTCACCCCCTGCACAAATCTGGGGGGGCACATGCCCCTCATGCCTCCCCCTAGGGAGTCGTCCCTGCTCTGCACCCCCTAGATGAGCTACCCACGGCTCTGCCTCGCCCTGGGGTTGCATTCGCCACCCTGGGTGGGCAACACCTGACCCATCTCTCCCTCACCCTGGGGGCCTTGATTTCCCCACCCCCCCCAGACCTACCAACAGGAGGCTGCTCTCCAAGCTTCAGGGCTGCATTCCTGGCCCAGTACTTGACATGCACGCAGCATTTATCGGTGATATTATGGGCCAAAAAAAAGCTGAAGGCTGATAATGTTATTTTTTATGTTATCAGTGCTGATCCAATATGCGACTGATATATCAGTGCACCTCTAGTCTTTACCTCCTTGCAGAGGGGCTGGGACATGGGGGTGGGATAATTACTTAGATCGGCATTAGCCTGAGCCTGAGTTAATCTACCTAGTTTATCTTATCATGAAGGAATGCTCAGAGGATTTGGCAGTACTCCAGGGTGTCCCATCACCCTGGCTGAGAATCATTGCAGTAGAGGTTATTTTAAGTGGATATGGGAGTCTGAACGGCGCTTGAAAATTGCCTTCAAGTATATTGTAAAGAACAGATCTTCATTGGGAGGGGCAGTGGCACAGATGATGTAATACTGTAGATCTTTTGAATTTTAAGTTTGTAATACTTAGGATTCATTAATTTAGCTATAGCTACATGTGTGTTGATTCTGCAATTAAAAATCTTTCTCTGGCCACATACTTATATGTAGGCATTTAGCTTTTCCTATTAAACTGAATTCCAATATATATTCTTTCTTGATTACAGGTACGGGAACACAAGAGAAAACTCAGGAAAGAAGCCAAGAAGCGTGGAAACAAAAAGCCCCGAAAAGATCCAGGGGTTCCCAGTGCTGCACCATTCAAGGAGGAAGTTCTTCGTGAAGCTGAGCAAAGGAAACAAAGGGTAACATAGTTTAATTTATAGTGAAGTGAAAGGGGGTATGAAGACAGCCTCACTTTCAGGGGAACTTGGTGCATGTCATCCTTCACTTTACATAGCCTTAATAGCCATTTACTTGGATGGGGGTGTTTAATCTAGTACCCAATGCTGTCCACAGCCTGATCCCAGTGATTGGGTAGGGACCTGTGTCCTGGACTTTGGGGTTTCCCCATGCCGGATCTCTGTGCTCAGCTGAGTATTGAGATCTTTCATGTATCAACCCCAACATGCCACACTTTCACTTTAAGGTGTGATACAAACAAGCCACAAAGATATTATATATGGAATATCTTTGTGTCTTATTTGCTATATTAATATCCCATAAATTGGCTTTAACATATGTACTGTTTATGGCACAATTAACATCTTAATCATGTCCTAAATGTAGTGTATGCCAGGGCCCCAAGATCTCTTTCCTGTATTGTAACATTTAATGTAGATCCCTAGTTATAGGTTGCGTATTATGGTAATTAATTTCACAATTTCAGTTTGAGCTCCTTCAGGATGCTAGGGTGAATGTTGTTAAGTCCTGGTGATTTGTTACTGTTTGGTTTATCAGTCTCCTTTAAAAGCTTGCCTTGTACCTCAGTTTGGATCAGTTCTGCTGACTTGTCTGTTGGGAGAAATGGCTCTGGTGAGGGATCTCTCTAACATCTTCATAATAAAGTTCTGTTGCAAAGAACTCATTTAGTACAAGTGCTAAAATTCATGCAAATTAAATTAATAACATTCCAAGTTAAGAGTTTTCAACCTCTTTTTAACAAATGTACCCCTTCTGCCTCAAAGTTTCACCTTGTACCCCTTTATTTTTTTTCTTGTTTTTAAGGGGGTGGGGCAGATTGAGGCCTCAGTGGTGGGGGAGGGAGTGGGGCAGGGCACAGGACTGAGCCTCACTCGGTGGGGGGCAGCTCCAGCCACTACATGCATGGAGGGCATGGGGTGATGTGCCTCCAGATCTGCACGTGGGGCGAAGGTGGGCCACTGCAGGCTGGGGCCAGGACGGCGCTGGGTTCTTCCCGGTCAGGGGCTGCACTCAGGGTGGGCAGTGGCGGTGCTGGGAGGGGACTACGGGAGGGGCTGCAGCCACTCCAGAATTCTCTGTAGGCCTCCGCCCCCCAATCCTTCTTCCCGGTGCTGCCCTGGCTCCAGCCCGCAGCTCACCCTCACCCCACATGCAGATCTGGGGGCACATGGCCCCTATGCCCTCTGGGGGTGCTCATAGTGGTGGGAGCTGCACCCCTCTGTCCTGCATTCCACCCTGGCTGTTCATCACCTGCCCTGGCCCTACTCCCTTTCTCACCGTGGGGGGCTACAGGAAGGGCTGCAGCCACTCCAGAATTCTCCATAGCCCCCCCTTCCCCTCCCTTCCAGCACCGCCACCACCTGTCCTGAGCGTAACCCAGCCCAGTCCCCTGCCAGGAAGAACCCAGCGCCACCCCAGCCCACAGTGGCAGCAAGCTCCGTCCTGCATGCAGATCTGGGGGCACACACCCCCCCATGCCCTCCCGGGGGTGCATGTAGCAGCAGGAGCTGCTC